TGGCTAGCGCGTTGCTTGGGGAAGAGGCCGAGGTCGACAAAGGAAGTCATGGTGGTTGACTCCATGGAAGCCACGACCCAGCTCGGGCGGTCCTTGTCGTAGAGGGGGAACGCTCTAGAACACACATTGACTGAGGGCTCGGTCGGTGTATACTTGCCTCAATGGTCGGTTCGGATGGAAGACACCCTTGAGACGAAGGTGGTGGCCGAGCAGCTTGCCTGGGGTGTGATGCTCCTCGGTATTAGGAAGGAAGCCAGTAGTCACACCAGCAGCTTTCCTGGAGAGCATGACTCTTCATCAAATCATGGTGGTGAGTTCAGCTTTACTTGTTCTTCATTGTTTCTCTTCTTTTATACTAACTATTTGATACGGAGCAATACATGCTTGATTTGTCTCATAACCATGTGATTCGTGTTTCATACTTTCACATGTTTAGTTTAAAAAAGTGCAACTGGCGTGATGTTCAAATCACTCGACGCATAAGACATACACATCGGTAAGCCATTGAGACAACAATTATCTTATGATAATAAGTTAAATAAAATAAACTTTTATCTATTTTAATCCCCACATATAGTCTTAACAAATAAAAATATATTTTAATTTGCATTAAATAAATATATATTTATTATTTAATAAAAATATTGTTTACAAAATACTTGAGAATGTAATGTAAATTGAATTTGTCAAATCCACTAATCCACTTTTATATCAAACAATTAAAAATTATAAATTTCTATATGATATGTATTTTAGAAGTTTTAGTATATTTGAGATATTTTAAGTTAAGGATATATTTTTTTGTAAATTATTAATTGATATTTTAATTACATTTTGTAATAACATTTTTATTGTTTACTAAAATAAAAATATTGTTTACCAAACATATGAGAATTAATTTTTAGTTTTTTTTCTTAATGTTAAAAACTAAAAATAGAAAAATAAAAAAGATTTGATATAATAATTACATATAATAATTGCATGTGTTTTGTGACATAAGCTTTGGTAGAAAATAAATAATAGCTTTGTGCTTGTATTAATTTGTAAAAATTTATATAATATGTTCTAGGACTCTAGATTGATACATTATTAATAAAATTGTATGATTTCTATGCATCCTGCTATATTAATTGTAATATATTTATTCACAAATACCATTAAAATATAGATTTCCTATGTAGTTATACATTAATGTTGACTATTTTAACCTAAAATATAATGTTACTAATATATTTATGAAATTTATATGCATTTCCCAACATATCCAAGCATTTCCATGTTTTTTCGTTTGTACCCATGTATTTCCTAAGTGTATCTATATCTGTATCTAAGTGGTCTGATATGATAGTGTTGTAAATCCATTTAAAATAAGGAAATGTGAATTAAAATCTTTGTAAAAAAATTCTGCTTATATCCCCTAGATCCTCTTTATATTTGACCTCTTTACAACCATTAAAATGACTTTGTGGATACCCAATAGCCTTTCTATTGATAGCTTTTGCTTATGAAAAGTTTATTAGAGATGCAACTGGGATGGGTTCAGGTGCGGATTTTTTTTTTCCAAAATTTGAATGGGCCTGACTTGAAGGCCTGAGCCCAAATTGTGCAATTCGGGCCAACCTGAGTTGCACCCTTATTAAATATGAGACAATCTTTTGCCTTACTTTTTTCCTAGTTTTTGTACTTTTTTAAGTTCAAATCTATTTTAGTTTTTCCCTTTTCCCTTTTTTGTTTTATTTAATTCACCATTCATCCATTTAGGTTTTGAACAAAACGATTCTAAAATGTTGAATTTCTTTAGAAAAAAAAGAGAGAGATAAAAAAATTGAAGTAACAACAAATGTTTGTTGGATTTACTACTGATTTAGGACTTGGTGAGAAGATTGGAGCCTATAGCCACCTATCCACAATAAGATATATTAGGGACCCTAACCTAGTAGTAGATTAGATTAGGGGTGAGCATGGTTTGGTTCGGTTCAGTTTCATGACAGAACTTGAAATTTATCCTGTAGAGATTGGTTCAAGGTTTTTTGGAACCATAACCTATCTTGTGAAGGTTGGTTCGGCCTTGGTGGTTCTAGGGTCTACTTGTCGAACCTACTCTTCTTTACTCATTCCTTGTAAAAAATGAAACACGTTATTTCAAAACTTGATTTTCAATAAATATAATTTGACTTATATTATCTTTATTGATTAAATTGAGTAATTTAACATGTAGACTTTCATTATATATTAATATATAACTTATCATTATAATTTAAAAATTTGAAAGTATTACTTTTTACATTACTTATTATATATATTCAAATATTAAATGAAAATAAATAATCAAATCATTTAAATAATTCAATGGTCAAGTGAAATAATGGCCTTTATAACAATGAATTCAAATCTTTACATTTTCAAAAATATTTTGGATTCATTTGAAAACAAATTTGATTTCTAAGACCAATTCCACTAAAGCTAGTTTATTGAATTGATTTGAGGAGAATAAATCTCTATACCCTGAAACTAGCATGACTGCGAAACGGTTCCAAAATCTATGCATTTTGCGGGGTCCGGATGTAGTAGGCATGTTAGGTAAGCATAATGAGTGAGCACGTAATAGCTGTGTGACACATGTCCCAGATAATGTGCCTTTCATCCAAACATTTTTGCTCCGTTAGACAAAAAATATCCATTATTTTATTATCTTTGTCAAAATAATTAAAAATAAAAACAATGAAAAAGGAAAACCTAAACATGTTGGGAATTGGGACTCATTTACGCTTTCCTTTTCATTGTTTTTATTTTTAATTATTTTGACAAAGATAATAAAATAATGGATAATTTCTGTCTAACAAAACAAAAACATTTGGATGAAAGGCACATTAGCTAGGACAAGTGTCACACAGCTATTACGTGCTCATTCATTGTGCTTACCTAATGTGCCTACTACATCCGAACCCGCATTTGCACACCCGTAATCAAATTCTATCCAAAAAGACCCCATGTCGAGTGAGAGAGATCAGGGCCAAGGGATGAATACAAGAATTTGCTGGACCAGTTGTTCACACACAGATTCTTCTGACGTGGCAATATCATCTGAGTTTTGTGTTACTTCAAAGTGGACCGTGGGAACATATATCATACGGATTTTGGATTGAATACCCGACGAATGCAGTGAATCATTGTTGTCTCCAGGCGGCAAAAAATTGAGAAGGTCATGTAGGGAATTCCTCCTGTTTTTATAATTTTATTTAGGATAAATTACAAAGACCCCCCTGTACTATGGGGCTTGTGACAAAGACCCCCCTGTACTTTGTTTTGCGACAAATACTCTCCTGTACTATGACCATGAGACAAAGACCCTCTTCCATTAGCCTTCCGTCCAAAAAGGCCGTTACAATATTTTTTAATCCCCATACTACCCTTATAATAACTATTTGGATGAGAAAAACATTGTTCATCTTCCCCGACCTCACGATACACTAACAATAATGGCGGACTGGCGGTAATCCCCTCTACCTCAGATTCCTTCACATTTCTATTTCTCTCCCTCTCTCTCCTCTCTCTCTCTCCCCCAATTTCTCTTCTTCCCCTTCCCCTTAACAACCTCACCAGTAATAAAATATATGATGTTGTCGAGATCTACTTGGGCACCAAAGAGTGAAGGTCAGGAAACCTGAGAAGGAGAAGAACTTTACTATCACTATGGAGAGAAACGAAGAGATAGTAGATGTGTTTGACTGTGTAAGATTCAAGTGGAAATTCGTATGTGTGGCGGTGGAGTCCTAGATTTTCAACCACCGACGCCATTTCAATTCGATAGTCCGATCGTTTAAGCTAAGGTTCCACAAGAAGCATAAAGACAAGGTTTTGAGTTCTTACTTTCCGTACATATTGGAGAAATCAAAGGCCATCAACGACGACAAGAAGACATTGAAGCTATTAACCGTGAATTACAACGTCTATTAAGATAACCCATCAAACACATGGAGATCGATTAACCTGGATCACCCAACGACCTTCAAGACGCTGGCCATGGAGTTGGATATGAAGAAAGTAGTAATGGAGAGAGAAAGATCAGGATTGAATTAAATGGGTTCAATCCTGACACTGTTAAGGGGAAGGGGAAGAAGAGAGATCTGGGGATAGAGAGGGAGAGAGATAGAAATGTGAAGGAATCTGAGGTAGAGGGGATTACCACTAGTCCGCTGTGGCTGTTAGTGTATCGTGAGGTCGGAAAAGATGAAAAGTGTTTTTCTCGTCCAAATAGTTATTACAAGGGTAGTATAGAGATTAAAAAATATTGTAATGACTTTTTTGAACGAAGGCTAATGGAAGGGGGTCTTTGTCTCATGGTCATAATACAGGGGGGTCTTTGTTGCAAAACAAAGTGCAGGGGTTCTTTGTCACAGACCCCATAGTAAGGGGGGTCTTTGTAATTTACCCTTTATTTACTTTACTTTATTAATAAATAATAAACTAATTGAGTCCAGATGTTATGCCCACACAAACTCTGCTCACATTGATCGCAGCCACACATGAAGAATATCTCATCCTCTGCATAGTGGGAGATGTTCCCAATTCATGGGGATAGTGTGTTGTGGGTACACATGGGGTTCTCGTGGGCAGGAGATCTGAACTCAAATTAATGACTGTATTCGTCGTAAACTATAGCCTCATGCCCTTGTGAGTTGTGAATGTGACGTGCCTTGGGATTCAAATGCACGTTCCCACCGGGAAATTGCTGCGAAAATTTCTCTGAACCGTTGGATTGCTTAAGAAAGTGCTTAGTCACTTTAATTTGATTGATAATATTTCGAGTTCGCATCAGAAAAGGATTAATCCTCTTTGGCTGCTGCACACACGTCCTATTCAAGTGCTAATCTACTTTCTTTTCCAAAAATGACCCTCTATCCTCCAAAGTTTCCATTACATTCGAGTATTCCTTTGCCTGGAAAATCTAATATTTACGTGCCCAACATACGTCATTCCAACTGCCTCTCCTCATTGACAGTTTCAGCTTCGCTTCTCTCTCTCTCTCTCTCGACTTTGCTTAAACCCTAAGATTCACTCTTCGATCCCAAGATTGACGATTAAAGAAAAATAAAGATGCGAACATACAGAGCGCGCTCCCTCCCACTGTATGTTGTGTGTGCACCTCTGCTCTGATTGATTGCTGAAATGCCCATTTCGAGGAGAAGAGAAATCAAATCAGGGCTCTTGCAACTATTTCTCCTTTCTCTCTTTCTACTGTTCTTCAATGCTTCTTCTCACCCTTGTGATGATGACCGCTGCAAAACTGGATCCTGCGACGATAATGGCGAGTGCATTTGTCAACTCCCTGACCCTTCCACCATTTTGGATGGTGACCGACCATTCTTCGGGTAGGTACATGAATATCTTAGACCTGCTCCTTCTCGTCCTCAACTTTAATGTTTGTATATCTTTCTGTGTTTTTCGAAGTTTGACCTTACACGGTGTCCACCATTCTCAGGGGGAGGTTTTGTGATGAGGAGCGGATCATGTGTGACGGGACTAATTCCTTCTGGTGTGAACACGGGGCAACCTGTCAGGAGATTGTCCAAGGAGAGAATTATACCTGTAAATGCCGGCCGGGTTATACTGGAATTCATTGTGAGAACAGTGGAGCGCCTTGTGGTCGGATTTTCTGTTTTCACGAGGCAGAGTGCCTAGTTGAAGGTGAAACGTGTGAATGTCCACCGGATTGGACAGGGAGTGTTGACTGCTCTAAACCCACCAGGAGTCCTACAGGTTGAACCTTATTCTTTTTCTTACTTTGTAAAAAGGAAAACAGAAAAATGATTCTTTTTCTTTTAGTTTTTCTCCTGCTTCTCTATCTGTTTATGGGCTTGCTGCAATAGAATTAGTTTCTACAGGCAATCATTCTAGTGACTATTGTGACTGTTCTCCGCTTGACATTGGTGACTGTTCTCCGCTTGACATTTGTCCTTGATTTTCATCATTGTCCACTTGACATTGGTGACTGTTCTCCACTTGTTTCACAAATTTCAATGTATAAGCTGTTCTGTGCTACGTCAATGGTTTTCATTGTGATATATGCTTCCCCTTTTCTTGTGTGTTTCTTTTGTTTTTGTTTTATAAACTTCTCCTGATTTACAGTTTTTCTAGGTCATTTTGGTTTTACTGCAGAGTTTTCATTTCATGTCATTTACTGTACATATGCAAGTTATTAAACCTATCTTCATGCTGTTTAACTAGCAGCAATGGTCAATGTCTCCAAATCCTGATTAATTATTCATCATGCATCAGATTTCAGTCATTTACCTTTTTTTTTTCTCTAAAATATCTGGTTTGATAGTTGATTCTTTGCATCAATAGAGGTAGAGTGTGTAGTCAAATGGCTTCGAGCCTATATACTTACACTAGTTCCTGAAACCATCCTTTTGATTGCGTGGAAGGAAAGATTCTCAAATTGAAGCCTTTTCTACTGATGCATATGTGTGTCTGTGTGTGTGTGTGCAACTTGTTCGGAATTTCAGTCAGATGACATCCTGTCTGTACTGACATTATTTTATGCTGATCTCATATGCAATGGTTGCATCAGTTTCAAAATGTAATGGTTTCTGGTAGAGATTCATTGAGCCCTTAAAACATTTTAGAGCTTTGGCTTGTTGAAAAAGCATGAGAACATGGGTTTGAGTCTCAAGGTGGGCAATTTATGCAAGAAAGAAATGCCAAATGTTAGATCTGTATCTAGTCCACCATAGCCAGGACCATCATTGTAAGTCTCTGATTTATAGCTGACCCCATATAGTTGGGACAAGGCTTCAATGATGATAATGATATATTTATTTATTTTTATTTCAAGTTGAGAGCTAAAATTAGTTAGGACCTTGTTTTTTCATTTTATTGTTTTCCCCTTCTCATTGTATATTATCATCCATTGCAGATATTACAAATTCCACCACTAACAAGTTGCCACATGTTGAAAAACATAACAACACAAAGGTGTGTAAGAATCACCATTCTGCTAGTTGATTTTATTTCATTCTTGGTATTCTTGTTTTAATTTATTAACTAGTTGTTTGAAGCTTACATAGATGCATATAATGTGAGACAAATTGGAAGACACCAACTTGCAAGAAAAACAAAATTATAATGTGTTCTGTTGAGATGTAGTCCAACAGATGTATCCTTGTGTACATGCTCTCCCTTTTTTTTTCAAATATACTATAAGCAGTACATGGTGGCAATTTCTGAATGTGTGGGTGGATTAGAAAGATTAACAATCCAGATCCTGCATTAGAGGTGCATCTGATCTTCTATCTTAAGAATTAGAAGATAATCAATACTTATAATGAGAACGTTGTGATACTTAGATAACATTAGAAATACAAGTACTGTTTATCATTTGTATTAGTTGGTTGACCAAAAATGATAGTAAAAGAATGTAATGGATACTTTCAATATTGAGTCTACTGACAGCCAAAGATGAGTGCTAACCTATAAATCACATACCCTACGAATCATGCTTGTCGTGTTTTGAGTCATATTAGGCACCACCTCTATGAAGTCAGATTTGTCCTCTCACTTGAACCATTTGAAGCAGTCAGTTTCACAGAGGACTTATTTTATCACATATGGGTATTAAAAAGGTACAAAATACAAAGCAGTCCCAGTCTTCCAGAGTTACATGGTTCCAAGATAGTTTGCACTCCCAGAGCTCCAATTTACAATCAATAACCTTCACCGCTACCCAACTGGTTCTTTCATATGCCTTTTCTTCTTAGACTCTAAGTTATTAACTGCAATGCAGATTCAGAGAATCTAGTCTGCATATGAAGTTTGCCACTATGGTAGTTGTTCTTTAAGCAGGATCCATTCAGGAAAAGGCTCGACAATTTCATCCAAAACTTTTGATGTCTCATTCATGTGACCAAGTGAGATGAGGTCAGGCCATTGGCTTCACTTTTTTCTTTATTGTTTTTCTTTAAATCCTTGATTTCTTCCTCTTTCTGCTCTCGTGTGTTGGTAATTTCTCTAATCAGGGCATTTTTATAGACAAGAAGGTAAGAGATGCATTTTGTGCTACCTGTGAAGAAATTGTTTTGCTGACATATTTAGCTTTATTATTGATACCAGAGGTGTCATCTAACAGTCATTTCTTTTTAATAAAAGGAATGATACTTGTGAAAAATCCTTGATATAAGAAACATTTTGTTTTTTTCTTTTTATTATTCTTGAGTCACTTTGAGTGAAATATGTAGTCTTCGAGTAAAACTAGAATCTGTGTTTATTTCTAACTGAATAATGTACCAGATGAATTAGATTCTGTGTTGCCTGGGAAGGTTACCCATTTTCCAGTCAAAGCTCTTTTGACATAATGGTAGTAAGTCTTGGTATTGCAACTATACATAAAAACAAGTATTTTCTGATATCATAAGCCTGGGTAATTGATCTGGCAAACCTTTGCATATATTGTAGAATGAAAGATGCATACCTTTAATACCTTGTGTAGATTCTAGAAAAATTCGCTGAAGTACCGTCCTCCTTTTCCATTTTCTTTTCAGTGGCTTGCAGTGGTCTTGGGCATGTTATGTTTTGTGGCAGCAGTTGCTGCTGTTGCCATATACATTAAGAGATTGTTCAAGCGAAAAGAAGAGACAACCTTAAAGTTCCAGCAGCTGTCTCAAATGCAGACACATGATTTCTTGGATGATGATGATGATGATGAGAATGAGTCATTTGTTCCTGAGATTCGGAGTGACGGTTCACAAATTTAGATGGTGTTAGACTGTATGAAGTTATGCATAGTTTCCTTAAAGTTCTCTAGGCAAGTCTTTTAGCTCACGTGTAATTCATAACACATTAACTCTCCTAAAAGGTTTGTTTTTCCTTTTGATTGGCATAACAGTTAAAATGTTTGTTATTTCTCTCTCTCTCTCTCTCTCTCTCTAAAGATGGTAGCAGGTCTGTTTAATGCTTATGGAAATTAAATCAAGATATTGGTGTTCTTTTATTTTGATAGAATGATATTAGCGTTCTAGGAGCAGAAGTGAATCTAACAATTCAATATGTCATCCATGCATTGCCTTGTTCATCCCTGAGAGTGGTGGGTGCGGGAATAAAAATCAAATATCCCCTTCCATTCGCTTTGTATTTTCCTCCTCCTGGGGACTTAAATATGAAGTGGTTGTTCTGTCATTTTTGTTTCTTATTTCTGGCATGCTGTTCCTCTCCCACTATTTATAACAGAACAATGATATCAAGAGAGATTTGTTCATCTATTGAGCTGATCTCCACGATGGGAAACCCCAGGTAGATGAGAAGGATGTCACTTTGGATTTCTCCTCTAGTCTTCATTAAGTCTGCGTATGCTTTTACAAAACCTGGCGACTCAAAATAAAAATAAACCAAATTGTGCACAGCGTGTATGCTCTATTATCTGGCCATAAACACTTAAAAAACATTGGTCCCATCCAGGTACGGTACCCGTACTAGCACATCCAAGAAAATAGAATATGTTGATGATTCATTGCAATAGACTGTTGGGAGAACGACAGTCTATTTCTACGTATATCAGCCTTCCCCGATCTTTTACTATGCACACTGTTCATAACGAATTAATTAATTTATTGCTAACCAGGGGATATGATTCAGGAAAACAAATTCTCACGGTCATACTCCGGCCAGGGACATCAAACCCAAAGTTGCTGATCACGTTTGACATTCACTTTGGGGGTTATTTTATTTTGTTTTTGTTACTGAGACAGTTTGGAATGAGTACGAATGCAAAACCTGTATGTATTAGTATTTGTACTCTTTCCAAACTGGGCCGAAAGGAAATCCACAATATACAGTGTGAAATGGTGAAGATTCTGCCTCATCGTTATCATTGTTCCGTGGCCCCTACCCTATTGTGGGAATTGGCTTTGTCTTCCTTGTCCTTGAAATGTTTAATGAGAGAATCAATGGACCCCCGTATGCCATCCGGTCACCATCACCAATGTCGTTTTTTTGGATAAAATTGGAGTCCAAGTTCTGTGCACCCGTGGTCTCACTGGAAGCGTGAACCCACCAATCACAATCGATCATGTCGTCCTGGGCCAATATTCATAACATTTTCGGGCCTTTGACCGTACATGGGATAACCGGACATAAAAAGACAAAAAAAAAAAACTCAAAAACACCTAGTCCGAATCCTCCCTCCCATTTTGCATTTCGTTGTTTTTTCTCCACGGAACCCTATCCAGTATCCACACACCGGCAGACGGTGACCCGAACCAGCGGCAAGAGCTCCGGCGTTATGTTTTCTGGCCTCCTCTTCCTCTTCTTCTCCTTCTTCTTCTTATAAAGGGCTTCCTGTTTTCTCTTTTCAACAGATCAAACCATAATAACAATCTGCAGGTGAACCACCCATTTGGTAAGGTGCAGAAACTACTTCCATAGTTCCCGAATTCCTACAAACTTCTCAGTATTGAGACCCACATTTAAATTTACTTGCCTACTAACAGTGGAAGAAAAACCGAAAAAAATGTCCAAAAAAGAGATGTTTTTCAGCAAAATGGGTTCTCCTCTTTCTCAACAGATGAAGTTTTACTCCATTGTCCACGCTCTTATCTTCATCTTCTTTGATTACTTGAAAATAACTTCAATGAGACTTCAACCTGTAAATCGATTGGATTCAAATTACTTTGATTTGTAGGCCTAGTTAGAAGGATGGAAAGGGATTATGCATATGAAATGGCCTTTAGGCTTTAGCAACTATCAGATTAAGGAAATTTTGCACTTTGTGAATATTACAGAACATTTTAATATTTAAAATCTGTGACATGCAGTCGGGTGGGAAATATCTCGGCAAAATATTTTAAGAGGAAAGTGTCTCTGAACCAATTGGGTGGTTCACCTGCAGTTCACCACCGGTGTTGACCCACCTTCGTTCGCCCGAAGAATTCCGCAGGTGTAAGGTTTCGATCTGTTAAAAAGTGAAAACAGGAAGCCTTTTGTAACGTACTGCCGGAGTTGCTGGTTTGGGTCACCGTCCGCTGGGGTATGGTCACCAGACACCGGTGTGTGGTTAAGGTTCGGTGGAGGAAAAGCAACAAAATCCAAAATGGGAGGAAGGATGAGGGAGGTTTTGGACCGGGTGTTTTTGATTTGTTTTGTATGTGTTTGGTTCGTTTATATTTATTGAATAAACGTTTATATTTTATTTGCTGGTAAAACCGAGAAATGCAAACAATTAGGCACCACTCCGGTATAACAATGAATAAACTTCAAAAAATAACTTTTACAAACGACTGGCATACACATAAACCAAAGTTCACTTTTTACATTTTCGATGTAAACAGAAGAGCAAGAGAGAGAAAATGTTGAGAAGGCCCCTATGTGGCACCATCAATAAACATTTATCGAATAAATGTAAACAAAACCAAACACCCTCTTTTTGTCTGTGTCCAGTTGAATCGGCTAGTTCATGTTAACAGTCAAAGGCCCATTATGATTGGTGGGTGATGAGGGCGGATTTGGCCCTCCAATGATATTGTGACACATGGCACCTCAGAACAAATACGTGACACTTGGAACCACTTTGGCAACAACTTGCCTTAGCCAAGTTGATGGTGTCCCACCTAGCGG